GGTGTATGACATCAAAATACCTCGAGAGCATTTTGAAAGCATAAGGAACCGTCTGTATGGTATTTTGATGTCATATATAGAAATCCTGGCCAGGACGCATCCTGGGAAAATGGCACATATGGTCACCCTAACATAGCGCAGATGCTACAGAACACAGTTAGCTGACTAGTTGTATAAGATTGTGTGCTACGCTAATATATTACTTCACAGGCATTACTGGCTTGTACTTTTACATCCATAATATTATAAATTAACAGTTTATTGCTGGTCTGTGGTTTTAAACTGCTGTATTTTTTAAAGATTTCATATTATTTTAAGGTGATCTTAAAGGGTACACTACTATGAAAATCACACAGTTTAAGTGTGACATCAATAAGAAAAAGTATAATTTCATAGATATTGTTAATAGTAGTTGTTCATAATAAAATATGTATGACCTACTGGGCATCATACACTTACCAAGTTTAAAAACTGTCCATCATACATGAAACAACGTGTTCTAAAATCTGCTGAAAATATCAAACATGTTTGATATCCTCCGACTGGATGGAATCAAAGTCTGAAGCTAAAAAAACAGAGTCTGTGATCATCATACACTACGTGATTTTCTATGGAATCAGTTGACTCATATCTGCAGACTGGCTCTGACCTTTGGCAACTAGCATCAACTTCTCCAGACTGTAAATCGGTGGAAAATCGGGGCAAAAATCGTGTAGTGTATTCCAGCCTTAAGAGACTACATAAGTTGACGTCCATTTATAAAGAGTCTTCATAATGAGGCTAGTTTCTGTGTTCATCCCCGTGAATGAAATGTTTTATTGGTTTGTTTTATTTGGTTTTTTAATGTGGGTTACTTAGCTGAACGTGGACTAGTCTGGATGTTGCAATGTGTTTAAATGACATTTCATTATGAATATATAACTGATCGAATTGAATGCCTTGTTGCTTGATTTTTTATTTTTTTTTTGTGATTGACTTTGAAAAATGAAATGTGATTGAAAAATTCAATTATTCTTTAAAAAGGTTGTTTAAAATAAACAAGAATTTTTAATAAAACATGATGTGAGCTTAATGGGAACAGGGGTGTGCTTAAAGGGTACAAACATGTACCCATTAAGCACAGCCGGACTTTTTACATTTAATGATGTATATCTTAATTGAAATGCTTTTGTCATTTAAAATAAAATTACATATTTTTGTGTGAGAGATTAATCTTTTATTTTAACATAACTTTTTGTACTGAAACCAATATCTTGTGCACTAAAAATGTCTCAATGTAGATTTTGGTGAGCTTAATCGGTACGTTTACCCTATTTATAATCACAATT